ATGTGGCTAGCATGTGGCTATTTTGTGGCTAATGTGGCTAGCATGTGGTTATTTTGTGGCTGATGTGGTTTTCATGTGGCTAACTTGTGGCTGATGTGGCTAGCATGTGGCTATTTTGTGGCTAATGTGGCTAGCATGTGGTTATTTTGTGGCTGATGTGGTTTTCATGTGGCTAACTTGTGGCTGATGTGGCTAGCATGTGGCTATTTTGTGGCTAATGTGGCTAGCATGTGGTTATTTTGTGGCTGATGTGGTTTTCATGTGGCTAACTTGTGGCTGATGTGGCTAGCATGTGGCTATTTTGTGGCTAATGTGGCTAGCATGTGGTTATTTTGTGGCTGATGTGGTTTTCATGTGGCTAACTTGTGGCTGATGTGGCTAGCATGTGGCTATTTTGTGGCTAATGTGGCTAGCATGTGGTTATTTTGTGGCTGATGTGGTTTTCATGTGGCTAACTTGTGGCTGATGTGGCTAGCATGTGGCTATTTTGTGGTTAATGTGGCTAGCATGTGGTTATTTTGTGGCTGATGTGGTTTTCATGTGGCTAACTTGTGGCTGATGTGGCTAGCATGTGGCTATTTTGTGGCTGATGTGGCTATCATGTGGCTATTTTGTGGCTGATGTGGCACGCATGGGGCTAAACTGTGGTTGATGTGGCTAGCATGTGGCTATCGTTTGACTGATGTGGCTAACATGTGCCTATTTTGTGGTTGATGTGGCTATCATGTGGCTATTTTGTGGCTGATATGGCAAGCATGGCGCTAAACTGTGATTGATGTTGCTAGCATGTGGCTAAATTGCGGCTGATGTGGCTAGCATGTGGCTATTTTGTGTCTGATGTGGCTAGCATGTGGCTAACTTGCGGCTGATGTGGGTAGCATGTGGATAACGTGTGGCTGATGTGGCTAATGTATGACTAATGAGGCTAGCATTCGGCTAACTTGTGGCTGATGTGGCTAGCAGATGGCTAACTTGCGGCTGATGTGGCTAGCATGCGGCTATTTTGTGGCTGATGTGGCTAGCATGTGGCTGATGTGGCCAGCAGGTGGCTATTTTGTGGCTGATGTGGCTAGCAGGTGGCTAACGTGTGACTGCACTTTGATGACAAGTTTATCGGAACACACATATGTGGCCTTAAATATCTGTACA